CTGGATCAGCCTAAAACCACGACAGTGAGAAGACAAGAATTCGCGTGAAGAGGATGAAACAAAAAGGCTGGATTCTAGGAGTGTTGTGTGAGATCCAGCGGCAACGCAGATGAGTTCATCCAAGAGCACCAGCCTGATGGGTTTTGCTCACCATCACTCGTGTGCACCATTCCTGCACAACTCTTGTTTGACGCGTGCAAGTTCAGAAGAACCCCAACTTCATTTGATCATTGATTAAACCAACAGTTGCCTGTTGTGATGAGTAGACTAAATGCTGTGGGTTTTCTTAAGAAGAGACTAAAGAGTTGTAGGTTTGAGGGCCTCGTGCTGATACTCAGATCTGCAGTCTGCTTCAAAGAGGCTTTTGAAGTCTTGAGGGAAACGTGCTTTTAGCTTTCAGGGAAAGTGAGAGTACACAATCTCAACTCACTGCTAATCTGATAACTCTTTAATTTCAATCACCCTGACAGTCTGTGGTAAACCATGTGGTTAACTATTTCGGGTACAGTCACTTCTCTTGAAGCCACAGTCTGATGTAGTTTACAAGGCGAATCCTTTGATAACACAAAGATAGAAGGGGATTAAAACATCCCTTACGCAGCCATTCGCAATGCGCTTCATTGATGCCTTCTTCAAACTTTGTGACTTTTTCAAAGTGGCAAGACCATGGAAAGGAGAAAGGGCAGAAAACATCAAAGCGAGAAGATGATGCCCGGTTTTCAAGGCCCGGTTGGATGAGGCCCTGAGCAACCTGATCTAGTTGGAGATATCCCTGTTCCTTGCAGGGGGGTTGGACTAGATGACCTTTGAAGGTCCCTTCCAGCCCTAACGATTCTATGATTCTATGATTCTATGATGGGTGGCCCTGAAAGAAAAAGGCACTGCAGGACTGGGTTTGGGAGTTGCTGGTTGAGTTGCTGTTGGCAAGGCATGGCTTTGTTTCAAGGAGAAGGCACTTTGGGAGTCAAGGGCAGATGAACAACTGTCAGGGATTCAAGGCCCTTTCACAGTCATTGTTGCTGGTTGCTAAGGCTGCATTAGTTACGGCTGCAGACAACGTGAAGATGTGATGACTAAGAAATTTTACTCCTAATAACTGTTACTATCATGCATAAACATAAAGGGCCACAGATCATGCACCCAAAGATCCTGAATGCCAGCTCTGAAGCAGCCAACCTGTTTTATCTTTGAATTTCCCAGCCTTTAGGCCTTAAATAATCATCAAGTAGTGCCTTTATCAACTTCTGGGTCTCCAGCTCAGCTTCAGTGGGCTTTTCAAGTGCGCTGAAATGATCTAACTTAATTCATTCCAACTGATTGAGAAGTATATTTAGATGTGATTTGCTGATTACACAGCACTTCACGTCCTTGTTTTGGGACAAGTTATATTTAGGTTTGCAAACTTATTTCACAGTAAGCTGCACTTTGGTGTGCTCAGACAGAACTGAGAGCCTACTCCCCTTTCCAATGTTTGCTTAGAGATGATTGCAACTCCTAATGGCTTCGTTTTGCTCATTATGCCTCACTCCATAGATTCAGGGCTGCATGGTCTACACACACAATACGATTGTGTACAGCTTCATTATGAAAATGTTGGTAGTGTTTCATGTTGCCCATCTGCGGGGCACAGGAAGAAAGGACTCAACAGCCTGCTTCAGGCAGGGGGGGCAGGAGCAGAGAGATAGACCTGGTGCCTCCTACCACCATGCCCAGCTACTGCCGAACATCCTTTTTCCAGCGTTCTTTCTCCTCTAGAAGAAACTTCAGGGAGTTGAACCAGCCTCTCCTAACTACAAAAGTGTAGACAAATACAGGCTTCATGTCACTTGGTGGAGATGCTCCCGCGGGATTTTTCTGCATCCTGAACAAATCTATACTTATAAAATCAATAACAACAGTTAACTCCAATGTGAAGAAGGCTTTGGAAGGCAGGATTGTTCTAAAATTAAAATAAAAAATGTTGACATAAAATAACTTGTTTTGCCGGATGCTCAGAGCCTCTCCTTGGCTTAGAGACAATCAAAGGAAAAAAACTTTGCTACACTCACGTTCCCTTCATGACATCCAGTTTCATCTCTCACCTCTGATTTTGGCACTGTGGCTGGGAACAGAACTAGGCTTACCTCGTGATGTTCTGGGCATGATCTGGTATCGAGAAGACAGAAAGATGTGGGAAGTCCTGGGTGAATAAGGTGGATGCACAGGCTGTCCTGATTCTCAGGCTTTCTGCTTGCAGAAATATGCCCGACTCTTCCAAAGACTGAATTTGCTGATGTTACTGCTGAAATGTATCCACTGGGGACCAGATTGTCTTACGAATGTGACGACGGCTACATGAGAAGAAGTGGCCAGTACTCAGGAATTCGGTGTCAGAGTAAACACCAGGTTGCTTCTTGGATCTACAAGGAATTTGAATGCATCGGTAAGTGACTATTGTCCTTTTTCTACACTCGTAGAGTGTTTTTCCAGTGAGTTAGTCAGTATAAGACACATCTGGGCATTGCTCTAACAAGTGATCTTTTGTGCTTATCTTTGCAAATTAGAACTTGCAGCAATTCTATCCTGCCTCTAAAAGCTTGGGTGCTCTGGCTTTGCAATGCTCTTCAGCCTGCTGTAATTCAGCAAATACAACTTCTCCCACAGATGAGAAAATTTTGTTGTCAATGGCTCCCAAGATGGACTTAGTTTTTACACAGAAGCCAGAAAGAAAAACACAGAGTCCTGCACCCCAGAAAAGAGAAAATCTTTCAGAGTTTGACCATAAAGGTAAGTAAGAGCCCATTCATTACTGTAACACTTCTCCCACTGATTTCCATGGAAGCAGAAAAGAATGATGGGTAATTTTTAATTATTTTGACAGAGAGAAAGAAACAATTGCTATAATGTCTTGGCTGAACAGGTGATATGGTGTAAGTGAAGGAGTATTAGGAGAATTAGGAAGGCTTGGTATATCCTGCTTGTCTATATTTTGTAAGAATAGAAATCGTGCTGTTTCAAGAACAAAAGCAGTAGGTAAAATCTTCTGCTTTAACCGTGTGCTGCCTTGTGATCCCACAGATTTTTGTGGTCCTCCCAAGATTATTCCACATGCCTCTTTAAGCCCGAACAAACAGTATTACGTGGGACAAGTATTACATTTCAAGTGCCAGAGCGGTTACGATAAGCGACTCCCCACCTCTGGCACCCGCGTGTGCAAGAAGGTGAATGGCAAAATCATTTGGACCTCCCTTGACATGCGATGCACCAATGGCAGTGATGAGTGGCTGCCACAGACTGTTGAGCCAGGTAAGATGGTTGATTTGGCATCACATTGGTGTCATGACCTGTTCATGCAAGGTCCAGACCCCCCAGCTCAGCACATCAACACATCAGTCCTAGGGAACAACCTGCTTGGGATTCGGGATGGAGGGATCAGGGACCTCAGGGCTCCGACACTGAAGGAGACGTCATCTCTCACTGATGGAGATGACATCTCTGGGGAGGACATAGTTGCATCTTACTTTGTCTTAGGTGTCCTTTCATACTAACTGCAAAATTGCAGGAATTTGAGAGCAGATAGATCCACACTGTTATATACTGGGAAGAAAATAGTAGAATGAGCTTTTCTCTTTCTTCTTCCTCCTGACAGCTATAGATCATCTCTTGTCACTTCATAGTAAGGTACTCCAAAAGGTATATCTAAGCATCCCTCATGATTGCTCAGGGTTTTAGGATCCAGAGTTTAGCTAATCCATAGCTAAACCTGAGTAATGTGGCTCAGTTCTGCTGTTTTGAACAAAGAGACAGCAAGAAGCTCACCAATATTTCACTTCAGTCTTTATGGACCCAGATTGAGCCGGACATGCACTATTGTGGTCTGGCATCTTGAGTTTCACTGCTCAGGGAGCCAGCAGGGCTCTTAAGTGAGGCTGCAGAACCCCTGCCTCTTGCTTGTTTACCTTTAGATATGCTAATACAAAAAATCAAAATATTTTCATGGCCTCTACTGCACCCAAATTGCCAATCTTTTCTGATGGCATCTCTCCTAACTCTACAGTGCATGAGTTTAGTATGAAGAGACAAAACAGAGTCCCTTCCCCAAGCGTCTGTGATAGCACTGAGGGTCTGGGGCTCTCTCTGGTTGCCAAGCAGAGCTATTGAAGATGGAAGGATCCAGCTGTCCACTACTTCTGCAGTCCTTAGGTTTTCATTACCCTCCCAACCTCCTCCGAGGCAGGGGAGTGCGGTGGGCTGAATTTTAAAGAGGTGGGAGCCAATGCAAGGTCGACACGAGAGGACTTTTCCTATCAACAGAGAGCAGAAAAAAACAGTTTTCACCAGGACTTGGCCCTCTAAGGGGAAATCAATCTTCCAAAACTGTAGGTGTCTACTGCAGAGATGCCCACATCTGAGCTGGACTGTCTTTATAACTGACAGAGGGGAACAGGTGTTGATGGTGCTGTGTTAGCTGCCCCATTTCACGTCTATTTTAGCGTGAGATGAATTGCACCTTTAAAGGCTTGTTTCTCCCCAGTGACTATAGCAAAGCCCAGATGACTTTGTCAGATGCCACATCTACGTAACGGTAGGTAAGATGAATGCCAGCCCTTGTGACCTGTACCAGGCCATATGGTAGAGCAGGATGGTTTGGGCAGGCCCCTTTGCCTGCAGAGCAACCTCTCAGGAGACACTTGGCCATCGTTGCCTCTCATTGCTGCTCTGACTATAGGAATGAATCGCCTTTCTCACTGGTCACACTATTTCAGCATTAACCCAGGACTTTCTCCCCTTCTTCAAAGATTTGCCTGTTTCCCTGTGGTGCCTGGTTCAGAGTGTTGCAGGTACAGCAGTTACAATTTGTTGTTTGGTCTTTCCTCATCCCCCTGGACAGTCTTTTTTTTTAACATTGATAATTCCATTTGGTACTATCGGGATGAAGGAACTTCTTACTCTGATGGAAGTAACCCATCGACATACCAGTCCTAGAAACTGATATAACCTATTGAATAGCCAGAGATTACAAATATTTGAAATTTTAAAATTAGGATTATGAAAAGCATGAGACTGGGTGATGAAATAGGCCATCTTGGCCTTTAATTCAACAGAACAATAATTCCAGTTTCCTGCAAAAGTACACTCAAACCCGAGCAAGGTCAGGTCTTTGTAATTAGAAATTACACCAATTAAATTACAAATTACACTGACTGGTGCACCAAATATTTCTTCCTCCAAAGTGTTGCCTTCCTCTTTGTTATGATGTCATGTCTTTAATGGGGCTAGATAAGGAATATCCTCCACTCTCTCAGTTCTTCCCTCAGCGTTCAGCACAAAGAGATTTATCAAGAGACCACTCTTACAAGACCTCTTGTTAAAAACCTCATACTGGCTCAAGCTCAGAGCTTCCTCTTCAGGATATGGGAGATATTCAATGAATTTCTTGCACCACGAAAGTTTTGGGTTACATTTCTAGGGAAAAAGAATTTCTGTTTGAAGCCATGTATCCAAATCCTAGCTTGGCATCTTGAAAGTCATCTTTCCCAATCTCAAATGAAATAAAGATCTTAGCTGGATCACATTCCCTGGAAGATACAGTTCACTTCATGCCCATCATTGGCAGATATCAGATCAGCACATATGTCGATATCCAGGCTGGAAACATCTATTGATGGCCAAGAGACAAACATGGCAATTATTAAGTCTTCTGTAAAGAGGGAGAGCTGTCAGATCTAGCCTGACTCTGTCCTCCTCACTGCTTTGATGCTCTTCACCAGAAGAGCAAATCAATACAAAACCAAGAATTTCTCTCCTTTTGTAGGTTCGAGTCATCCATCCTTTTCCTCATCTGTGATACTGCCAGTGACAGGTATGCCATTTTGTTAATTGGACTCAGACTTCGCCCCATCCTCCAGAGCAGTTACTCCACCTTTCAATTTGCTGTTCCGCCAAAGAGATCCATCTCTGTCGTAAGAGCTAATAAATACACTGTGAGACACATCTGTGTCCGTGTATCGGGTGAGAAGTCAGTAAATAAAAGGTAAACAGAGACTGTTGAAGCACTTAAGCTTTTTATAAAGAGATTTCCAAAGACTCATAAGGGATGTAAAAGAAAATAGGTCGACCAAAAGTGTAAATTTTAAATGAAGCAATTTTCAGATTCTTTCTCTGAGACTTTCTGTGAATTCAGTGAATAATTTCAACTGGAATAAAACAGGAAAAATGTAAATAGTTAAATGATGTGTGTGTTTCACACTTTCAAGGGAGTGAAAAAAGGATGGGCAAATAAAATATTTCCTCACAGCTAAACTGATGCCTTTAGATCAGTCTGAAGGGATTTTCTTCCCCCTCCTCCCCATCTTCCATTCAATCATTAGCTGCTAAAATAGAAATTGTGTCTTACTGTGCATGTGCTCAAGACTTTGTACAAGGACTCTTGATTCCAGCTGCAGTCTGCTGACTGTAGCGCACATTATAATAAGGAGGAATAATGGAGTGAGATAAAGAAAGGGAAGGAGGAGTGTTGCAAACTATGCCAGAGACCACAGCATCAGTAGTCCCTGGTTATTGGACTGTGGTTGCTCTCTAGTTGCTCAGGTCCTTTCTGGCTGGGTCTTGTTTGCCCTGGGGAGCAAAGCAGTGGGGCAGTAGGGAAGAACTAGTGCCTCTGGGCATAGGGGCAAGATAAGCCCCTGTCCCAGGTCTTGCCTGTTTCTCCCAGTTGGAGTAATTGCAATAATTACAGCTAAAACCAGGTGCTAACCATGATGATTTTCTGTTTCAACAGCTATCTTTTTTGTTCTGCTTGTAATTCCTGCTTTTTTTTTTCCAAGCAGAGAATACGGTAAGTGGGAAGGAACCAGGAAAATGTGAAATCTAAAAAAAAAAAATAAATGGAGGAGCTATCAACTGGATCAGCCATCTCACTATTGCACTGCTTAGATTTCTGAATGCCTTCTGTGGCATTCAATGAATGACCCTGGATTTGGGGTTGTCTGGTTCAGCTGTTAAATACTGGTGCAAGAAAAGGAGGAATCAGAGCTTTTGAAATCAAAAAGCACGCTTTGCCCCAGCCATTGTGGAACTGAGAATGGCAGTTCAAATAACGGGTGGAAAAGGGGGAAATTAAGGTCAATTATGCAAATATGTTGGTTTCAGATAGATTACGCAGTCAGTCTTTTTCTCTCCGGCCAACCTGTGGGAAGTCTGGTGGAGCATCTGCCACCACGACCACGCATCTCTTCTTCCTTCATCCCCCTGATTTCTCAATCGTGTCACGACAACTTTGTACTTCAGACTTATTTTAGTCTAGCCTTCTCGCTGTTTCTGTTAGGACACCGAGATGCACAAAGGCTGTTCCTCTTCACAGGCTCCCCAGCCTAGTTAATCTAAGATGTCCCTATTTGACACTTGGGAGTTCTCCTTTTCTCCTCTCTCTTTGCTAATCCTCATCTTTGTGTTCCTTACTAACTACTGATGGGCTCTAGTTCTCTGCTGAACGGGCAGAAAAGGACGAGGACCTTGTGAAACCACATCAGCAGTGCTTTTTTTTTGCCAGTTGACAGGCTAAAGCCGTAGAAAGCGCAGACAATGCTTTGAAACATGTTTTAGTGAAGATGGTCGACTGAAGTGCAGGTTGCCTGGGCCATTGTGGGATTTCTGAGAATATAATAGGTAAAAAACGTCAAAAATATTCTACATTTCACAGGCCCTTTGGTGGAATAAGTGATTAAATAGCTGATACGAGATTAAATAGCAACTGAGAACCTAACTGGTGTCTTCAGCAAAAAGGACTGTGTGGTTTCTTATAGTAAATACAGCAGAAGCCACAGAAAACCTGCCTCTTCCCAGCTATAGTAAAGTCTTTTTCCTGCTGTAGAGAAGACTTCTCAGGGAATTGCGGTGTTCAGATCCGAACTCATTAAATCAGTGCCTTGCCACAGAAGAAACCAGATTGCACCAGCAACTCGACCAGCAATGGCAAATGAGAAGGAAACCTGGACACTCAAATCCAACATGTGAAGGTGGCAGAAAATATTACGGCTTAATTCTTACGGAGACAGAGCAACTTTACACCTACAGAGTACTGGGGGAGGGAGTGCATCCCATCATTGACAGACGGGGAAAGAGCCCTGCCTGCTTCCAGAAACACTTCTCCTCCTACCATATAGCAGATGTATTGCTAATGTAACTGCAGCCTCTCCCAAGCAACCAGGCGTACGTACGGACCGCTTGCCCAAGCATGTTAGATGATGGCACCGTCACTGCAGCCCACACACCACCTTCCCTGCAAAGAGAGACGCTGGACACCTGATGTCCCCCTGTCCCTTGCCTACCCAGACTGGCCAAACACAGTCACACTTTTCTCCTCCTCACACTGCTCTGCTTGGAAAAGGAAATTAAATCTATTTACTCTCTGCACATAAGCCGAAAATCATACTGGATTCCCTTAATGGTTCAGCATACACATGCACTCATTATCGTTCTCCTCTTCCCAATTATTTTGGACTAGCCCCTTCCACAAGAGTTACTACGTTATTCCTCCAGCTCAGAGAAGGATGCTGCAGAATGTGGCAGCTGATTAACTTGAAAGCTCGTTTCGTAGCTGCAGAGCACCAAAGAACCTAGCAGGAAGGCATCTGAGGACAGACCCAAGCATACACAACACTTGACATGTCCTCATGTTATTGGGAACTGGTGAAGTTTGAACAGCCTTCTGCGACTTTTTAGCCATGTTCAACCTGGACAAAATGCAAGCATCTATGTCAGAGAATGGAGAGGAACACGTCCCTTTAGAGAGCATTTCATCTCACCCTATTGCCTACATATATGTCTATATGTGCATATTTATTTATTTTTTTATAACACACATGAATATACACACACAGGCCAAATGACTCAGGGTCTAAAGACACCTGTTTCTCTGCATTGACTCTAAATGATGTCCAGATGGACCAGATGGGCTGTAGATGCTTACGTGGCATATGTCAAAAGCAAAATGGGATTAATCCCTTTCTTATAATTCAGGAAGCACGAGATGCTAGTGTAGTCTCCCATTTTATGATAGAGTGTATGTGTCATTGATTTACCGTTTTGTATTCCTGTTGAGTTATTCTCACTCCATAGCCTTGATATTTATATTTTCCACGGCTCTTTTATTCCTGTTGGAATAGGACTGACTTGTACTACGTATCTTTATAAAGATGGATATGTAATGGCCTGTTACATGCTGTTATTTCATACGGGAGCAAACAACAATCTGTATTTATGCAACAGATGATAGGTTTTCACACCTGTCAGCTGCTCGGAAGGCAGCAAGTGGTGGTACTAAGCTGGTCAGCTTCCTGTGGTCCTTGTTGCTGACCATACCTGTTAAGCGCTGCAGTTAGGCTGGCATGGCTTGTCCTGCTCAGAGCATTTCACTGGAGAATGATAATATTTCATCTGCTCCTAGCATGTACATTTTTATGCAGATAACATAACCAGAATCATATGTCTCCAACTGCTCCGGTGGTTCTTCCTCTTTTCCCCAGCTGGCTTGGCTGAGGGGCTCTCTCTCCACATTTTGTCTTTGTTTCTTGGAAATTAAGGGAGACAGACTGCTGGTAAGGAACCTGTAAGCAATAATCAGTTACAGACTGGACCACTATTATGGGATTAATGTCTACCAGAGATTCTGAACCCAGGTCACCTCCAGCATGTGTATGTACTTTATCAGGAAGCTGTAACTCTCAGTTAAGCTGTACCTTACCTGTTGGTAGGGCTTGTTGGCCCTCTGGGGAAATGTTTGCACCTGAGGCTTGATCCTTCAACACAACACGCAGAGAGCACATGGAGACCAGCAGGACTCATCCTGGGAACAAAACACCACCACTGGAAGAGGCTGTGGCCAAAGGGACACCGTCCCTGTTGTGCTTTCTCCATGGCTGCTCTCACTTGTTTTACATGAGATGTGGTGGTTGATAATTTTGTTTTGTAGACTTTGATTTTCTCAGCATGGACCAACTAATAAACTATATCAATAAATTGTTCTGGATGTTTGAAAGGCAACTTGTACTTCTTGCTGTTGATCTAAACTTTGAAAAACACAAGATTTATTTTCTGTTTCCCTCTTGTTTTAACAAAAGGTATGACAAATGGCAATGTGTCACAGGAAGGTTTATTTTAGAGACCTGTGCTAAAGGTCATTTCACACATGCACTATCACATCTAATTTTTAAAATGCAGGAGAAGACTAAAAATATTTTGGCAAAGAGATCTCTGTCCACAATGTCTCCAAAACAGATAATTGGAGTGATCAACAGATTTGTACGGTCTAAGGTCAGTGGAGCTCCCTTAGCCCTAACCCTCCCCAAGAAGTAGAAATACACATACTGCTGTACCATAGCCAGGAACTCAAGTGTGAGAAAATGTTTTTCCAGAAGTCTGCAGCATAAGAGTCAGTTTGCACGTTGCAATGCATCATTGTATGTGCCTTTGTATGGATGTCTCCATGTGAGCTGGTCCCATCACTGTGGCAAAAAGAGGAGTCTAGAAAGACTTGGCTATCAAATGCAGGTGTCCACCCAGGTGGAATATTTTTCCAGACTCCATGGACAGCATCAACTAGATCTCCATTGACTCTACTGGGAACTCAGACAGCAGCTCACATGGAAACACCTACAGATTGATCTGGTTGCCTAAAGATAGACATCTGGAATGATCTGAGACATCCAACGGCATCAGAGGCATCTACATACGGCTGGAAGCTACAACACAGGACCTATGGGAAGTCTGTCCTCCTCTGCACTGATAACTGGAAGCCAAGTAGCATGATTTGTTTATGCCCAGCCTGCAGAACTAACCTCATGTGTAAACATCTACTGTAAGATGCCCCAAAAAGCAAGGCGGATCCCTGCCCCAGAAGTCATCAAGACCTGCAGAATCTACCACTCACCTCTGTAAATGCATCGCTGAAGAAACCGGATGTCCTGGTTTTGACTGGGACAGAGTTATTTTTTTTTTCTTTTTAGCAGCTAGAAGAGCTCTGTGTTTTGGTTTTAGTCTGGGATTCACTATAAGAAGAATGTCGATGGTGCATTGATGTTTGTAGTTGGTGCTGAGACATCAAGGACTTTCCAGCTTCCCATGTTTTTTTCCAGTGTGCAGGATCACAACAGGCTGGGGAGGGAGCATGGCTGCGACAAAGGGTCCACAACTCCCCTTATGATTTAAACTTAGACTTAGGATTGAGAGCCAAACTGGCCAATGGAGTATTCCATATCATGCAACGTCATGCCCAGAATATAGATGAGAGTTGACCAGGAAAAGCTCTTGCTCTTCCAGGGGCTCTCACTCTTGGAATCTCGGAGTTCTATCTCTCTCTTGCTTTCTTTTCGTGCCTCTCACTCATTTGGGATTCTGGTGTTGGGACTTAACTGTTTTGGGATGGTTTGCTGGGATGGGATGGTGGTGAGCAATTATACTGTGCATCACTTGTTTGTATGTATTATTGTCATTACACTCACATATATTCATATATTATTATCATTATTACTTTAACTTTTATATTATTATTATTAAATTGTTCTTATCTCAACCCATGAGTCTCCTTCCCTTTTCCCCTTTAATTCTCTTCCCCATTCCCCAGGGGTGGGGGAGGGTGAACGAGCAGCTGTGTGGTGTTTAGTTGCCGGCCCGGCTAAACCACGGCACCTGATAAAAACATTTCCTGCCACCCTAAGGAAAAAAAAAAAATCTGAAGTTTAAATTCAAACATGTTTTTTTGTTGCAATGACAAATGAAAAACAGTAATAGGTCGG